TATTACCAAATATATTCTATGTTTTTGTAAACTGTCACTTAATTTTGTTGATAATATCCTTTGACCAAAAAAAGCTTTTCATTTCAATAAAGTCCAATTTACTTTTTATACCTTATACTTATGTTTTTATTCTCATATCTATGAATTAATTCTAATAAACTAGGTCCTGAAATATTATCACTATTATTTCTTCTAAAAGTTTTATTTTAGTTATGTTTAGGCATTGATTCATTCAGATATGACTTTTTGTTTTAATATGACTTAATTACATTTTAATTTTTTATTCCATTAAATTAGTAACATAGGCTTCCACATTTCTGCAAAATAAGTATTGCAAAATAACCTGCCATTTATTCAATGGCCTTTTCTAGCTGCAAAGTATGGATACAAGGGAAACATGGGCTTACTAAATAGTTAGGAGTTTCACAAAAAATATAGTGAAACCCATGTGAAATTGTTCTCTAGATTAGTAAGAAGGCACTGGTTCATCCTTACCTTTGCTTAATGGGTACGGCATAATGTTGCTCTTGTTAAGTGTCATCAAGTCAAGTATGACGCACGGTGACCCTATGAACAACAGATCTGAACTCTGTCCTATCTTGTGCCATCCTTATCATCTTTGATATATTTGATCCCATTGCTGCAGGCACTGTGTCAATCCATCTTATTGAGGGTCTTTCTTCCTTTTACCATTCCTCCACTTTTCTAATCATGAGGTCCTTTTCCAAAGAATAGCCTCCCATACCAACAGGCTTAAAGTATGTGAGACAAAGCTTCATCATCTTTGCCTCCAAAGAGCACTCTGGCTGCACTTCCTCCTAGCCATATCTGCTTGTTCTTTTGGCAGGTCATAGGACACTCAGCACTCTCTTCTAACACAACAGCTCAAACGCATCACTTTTTCTCCTGTCATTCAAATTAATTGCTTAGCTCTCAGATGCATAGCAAGTGACTGGAAAGACTATGGATTGAATCAGGCAAATCTTTGTCTTTTAAGCTGATATCATTGCTCTTCAGTACTTTGGAGAGGTCCTGACAGGTGACTTTCCCAGTCCAATCCCTTATACATAATTATGAGGGATTGTAAATTTTAAAAAAGGCTTTGATTCTGTAAGAAACTGCTGCAGGTTTGATAGAGAGACAGATGCCAGCTGCTCCCAGAAGCAGAATCCTGATGTGCTGAAAAATGTGAAACTGTTCACCACAGGTTAATTTGTAAGCACAGGTAAGCTTTTTTATTGGGTAATCCCATAATACATGCATATAGTGAAAATAATACAGGTTTTAGATTTAATTTTACCTGTGATAATTACATTGTATAAAGATGTACAAAGTTAGTTAACCTAAATAAGACTTTATTTACTGTTCTGTATAGCTACTCTATGAACAACAGCCCTAAACCCTGCTCTATCCTGTGCCAATTGCAGTGTCTCTGACACATCCATCCCGATTACCCTCGTCACTGAATCAATCCACTTCATAGAGGGTCTTCCCCTCCTGCGCTGTCCCTCCACCCTCCCAGGCATGATATCCCTCTCCAAGGACCTGCTCCTCCTTACAACATGTCCAAAGTATGAGACCAAAGTATGTCAGACGAAGCCCCAGAATCCTTGCCTCCAAGGAGTTGCTTGGTTTAATCCTCTCCAGGATGAATCTGTTTGTTTTCCTAGCAGTCCATGGTACATTCAATACTCTTCTCCAGCACCACAGCTCAAAGACATCAATTCTCCTTCTATCCTCCCTAGTCATTGTCCAACTCTCTGATGCATAACAACAACAAAAACAACAACAAAATGAAGGAAACAATATCTAGGTATAGCGTCTTTATATAAAAAAGGCAGATCATTAATCAGAACTGGCTTTGACAGGCACTGTGGCAATTGGACAATTAAAACAGACATTGGGGGGGGGAAGAAGAATGAACTGGGGAGGAGGGTGGAGAAAACAGTGCAACAATGAATGAATGAAAACCCAAAATCTCTGTAAATGTTCATTAAAACTAATAAAATTTAATTAAAAAAAAGAAAAAAAAGGCAGATCAGTCTTAGTGCTTACCAAAGTATAAAATATGTACGTTTTTAATTTTAAATTTGTTTTTAACTAATAACTTGATCATGTTGCTGTCGTTAGGTGCCCTCAAGTGAGTTCTATCTCAGAGTAACTTTACGTATAACAGGATGAAACGCTCTGCCTGATTCTGTGACATCTTAACAATCTTTGTTGTGCTTACGTGTTGTTGTAGTCATTGTATCAATCCTAACCATACTACATTTTAATTGTCAACTGTTATTGTCATTATTTTTAGGTGCCCTCAAGTTGAGTATGACTCTTAGTGACTCTGTAAACAACAGATCTGAACCCTGTCCTATCTTGTGCCATCTTCACAATCTTTGGCATCCTCAAGCCCATTACTGTGGTCACTGTGCCAATCCACCTTATTGGACTGTTTATTATTACAAGTCCCAATCCCTCAGTACAATCCCGATGCTCTGACTTCCACCAGGGCTCCCTCTAAGATTGTGATTTAGGGCAGGCTGGCAGCAGCAACAGAAGCAAGCATTTTACACCCTGTATCCATATTCTACTATTTCATACTTTACTTAAATAAACTGAATGAATAACCTGTAATTGTGCTTTCCTCAGCTGCTGGGAGGTAATCTGTGCCTTTTGTTGCATCATATTTTTAATTCGTTGGTTGACTTGCTTTTCCTTCTTGAGCTCATTTCCATAAAATCTGGACCCCTGAAAAGGAAAACAAGATAAGGAAAAATACCTGAAGAATACCATTACTATAGAATAGCATCATGACTAAGAGTAATTGACTCTGGAATCAGAATGAATGCATTAAAAACTTGATTCTGTCATTTATTAGTGGGGTGTCTCAAAGAGTCATAGTAATACAATGATTAAGCTCCTGGCTGATGTCCAAAAAGTTGGTAATTAATCAAGCTGTCTGGTAGGACAAAGATGTGACAGTCTTCTTCTGTAAAGATTTATCGCCTTGGAAACCTTAAGGGGTAGATCTACCATGTCCCAACAGAGCTGCTATCAACCAGAATGGATTTGACAAGAATGAGTTTGGGTTGTTATTGGGATTTTTTTGTTTGTTTGGGAGTGAGTCTAAAATTACTTAATCTTTGTATGTCTTAGTTTCCTTATTTATAAAATGAATTTCTTAGAAAACATTGAGATTCCATTAAGGGCAATGGAAAAATCTAGAAAGGATAAGGGTGATGGTTGAACAACATGATGAACATAAGATAAATAAACTGTATATGTGAAGATTGACAAATGGCAGAAGATTTTTTGTATTTATGACACATACACACAAAAAAGTCTTTTTAAAAATTAACTAAATAATAGAACTGTTACAACAAAGTATACTTAACACAGGCTCTCTAAGATAAGTATAGTATATATCCTAGACTCAGCTAATAACCACATGTCCTAAGGAGGACACACAGGCATATTCAAGGCCTTAATTTGGTCATCATGTATACCCAACACTAAAAATCACTCCTTAAAAGTGTTTCAATGAATGGGGAGAAAAATGTATCGATGATTTAATGAAAAACCAATATGCTTTGTAAAAGTTCACTCAAATAATAAGAAGTCTTTAAAAAAGTGGTAAAAATTATTGTTAAATCATTAAAGTAAAACATAGAAAATAATGTAAAGAGAAAATTTTCGACCAGTACATTACTCAGGATATCATATAGTGTTATTAGTTGGTAAACACTGAAGTTATCTGAATATTTCTATGAATATTCACATGTAAATCTCTATAAGAGCATACATTTTCACTTTGGGAAAATATTTGGGATTAGAATTACTGGGACATGTGGTAGTTTTATGTTCAGTATTTTTAGATTTGACAAAATTTCCAAAGCAGTTTCAACATTTTACAATCCCATCAGCAATGTATGAAGACTTTAACTTCTCCACAAACTTGCTGCCATTTGTTATTATTTGTCTTACATTTTACAGCCGCTCTAGGCTGATGATGAACCCTACTAGTGCAGTGGTTCAGCACTTAACTGCTAAAGGTCTGTTGTTTGACCCAACAGAGGCTCTTTCAGAGAAATATGTGGCTGTCTGTTTCCCTAAAGATCTTCAGCCTCTGAACTCTACAGGGCAGATCTACCCTGTCCGGTGAGGTAAGTAAGAGTCAGCATTAGCTTGATGGCAATGGGTTACTGCAGATTCCAAAGCGTTGTCATACTGTTTTGTCAAGGATGCTGTCTGGTATTCTTTTTTTTTTTTTTTCTCCTCCACCTTTATTTGCCTCCTGGTATTCTTATATATTGGTGGTGGATGTTTATTATTAAGAGAGCAATTTGATAATTCATAAAAATAACCAAAGCATTTATCCTTTTATAGTATCTTTCTAGATGCACTTACATATAGATGAAGTTATAAAGCACACAATTTTATAAACTGTAGTAATCTTTTTTAAAAAACAAAAGACTAGAGATGGCTTATAGATCGATCAACAAAGGATTATAGTTAATTGAGGAAATCATAAACAAAAGGATAAAAAAATGAAAAATGTAAATTATACAGAAATGCCTTCAAGGTAAGCTAACTGAAAAAAAAGTATAATCAACACACCAATTATATTATTCTTCTGTAGAGGTTAAAAAAAGTAAAAAAGAACACAACTTACTTTGCTTATATGCATGAAGTAGAAAACTGGACATCAAGACCAACAGAATAAGAGGGAGATGACTTTATATCCTTTTGTGACTTGTTAGTACTACATACTAGAGTACTAAAACTATAATAAAATGAACTTAAAACTTACTGATTTTCTTTTAAACAGAATGGTAAGTTAAAACACACATAAGGAAACAAGAAACATACCTTTGTGGCTTCCATTATAATTTTGTTAATTTTTTCTTTATCTAGTCCTTCCATTCCTGCTTTATTATCATTAAGTCCCACCCTAAGCAGAAGATCATCTTTGTAATCATCATTCTTGTCCTTTGTGTTATCCATCGTGTAAACTTAAAATGTCTTTATTATCTGAAACATGCAAAAAGAATAATGCTTTTAAAAAAATTCACTTGAAAGCCCCAAAAGTAAAAAAGAAGTCCAAAGCTTACAGCAATTAAAAATATTCATATTTTATAATTTATTATGCCAAGATTATTGTATTTTGGAAGGAAGAAAGGACTTAACACTTATTGGAGCCTTGTGCCAGGCAATATGCTTATATGTTACATATCATCCTCACCGTAAGTGAAAGGCATATATAATACTTCTAATTTTTTTTAAAAAAAGAAATTTGAGCTTTAGACCATGTCTAAGTCCACATAAGCCTATGTTCATGCTTAGGAAGGTGGAGGAATGGAGAAAAGGAGGTAGACCCTCAACCAACTAGATTGATTGACACAGTGACTACAGCAATGGGCACAAGGTTAGACTCTGACAGAGTTGAAGAGGGTTCAGATCTTATTCATAGGTTTGATATGAGTTGTCCTTGACTTGACAGTATCTAACAACAATAATCTGAGCACATTTTTGCCAATAAGCAACAATATCTATATTGAAACCCAGGTTAGAGTCCAAAAGGTCATGTTTTCCCCCAGACTAATTCATTGTACACTTCCTTTCCTGTTGTTGGTAGATGCTGTCAAAACAAGTGTCACTCATAACAACCCTATGAATGACAGATCTGAACTCTGTCCTCTCCTGTGGTATCCTTACCATCTCTGACATCCTCCAGCCCATTCCCGCAGTCACTGTGTCAAACCACCTGATTTAGTTTTTCTCTCCTTCCTCATCCCTCCACCTTTCCAAGCATCATCCTTCTCCAATTAACAACATTCCCAAAGTATTGGAGATGAAACTTCACCAGCTTGCCTCCAAGAAGCACTCCAGATGCACTTGTTCCAAAAGTTGTTTGTTCTTTTGGAAGTTCATGAGATATTAAGCACTCTTCTCCAACACCATACTAACAGGCATCAATTTCTGTCATCTTTATTCATTATCCAGCTCTCAGATGCAAAGGAATGATTGAAAAGGCCATGGCCTCCCATCAACAAACGAATGGCTAGAGAAGCTGTGGTATATTCGCACAATGGAATACTATGCTGCATT